CTCCCTCGTGGCGATGTTTACACTTCGCACCAGGTACTCGTGTGAGGCTGAGTCGACCTAGGGGAGGCCCAGGACGGATTCAGATAATCGTCGCACGTGTTGGCCGTGAGCGGGAATCGAACCCGGGTTGCCGGGTTCGTAGCGCAGCGTAGCGCTAACCGCTGCACCACCGCTCCCCACACACATCACGTGATGAAAGCAATTCAATTGTGGTTACAAATGAACATTCATGGTTACAGATAATATTATTTCTGTATTATTGGTCATCCATTAAAATCAAACAGCAATGGGAAAGGCAGTGGTCCAGAGATTAGCGAAATGCGCGATGAGCCCAGCATCCCGAGTTCGATTCCCGATCACGGCTGACGTCAGTGGCCTGCCCTGAGCCCTGAGCCCTCCTCCAACCGGCACTGAACGAGCGTGGTGAAGTATGGCCAAAGAACCGACACGGCCCGGGGGGGGGGGGGGGGGGGAGGAGGAGGCCTTCATCCAGCAGTGGATTGACAAAGGGACAGTGATTGAATATGAAAAAAGCAATACTAGATTTTACCTTTCCTGGCAATTAAAGAGCATGTGCGGAATCACTGAACCGGAATTGATCGCTTGAAAGCGTTTAGCGCGGGGCCCTTGAAAGTGCGGGGCCCGTAACTGCTACATATGTAGTAGTAGTAGCTACTACATATAGTAGCTACTACGTTTGTAGCAGCTACTACTACATATGTAGCAGCTACTACTACATATGTAGCAGCTACTACTACATATGTAGCAGCTACTACTACTACTACTACATTTGTAGCAGCTACTACTACATATGTAGCTACTTTTGCTACATATATAGCTACTTTTGCCACCACTACACATGTAGCTAACTTTGCAACTAAGGATCATCCGGCAGTGGTGCTGCACCAGAGACGGCCTTCATTCTGGTCTCGTCTCACCAGTCTCAGTCCAGAGAACGCCAAAAGGCGGCCGGTGAATGACTTTCCGTGATCACGGCGAGGACGAGTACTGGTGGAAGCGAGTGGCGGGGGCGAATGCTTTCAGAACGACGCGAATTCCGCTCGTCGGCCCCTTAATTAGAAACATTCGCAGCGGGCGGCGTAAGGCAATCCTCTCATGGATGAGCGAACGGGACCTCCACCCCGCCCCCCCCCCCCATAGCCCGACTGCCAGGCCATTGTGGCAACGGTGGAAAGAAAAAAAAACGTTATAAATAAATAGATCACTTACAGACAAGGCTCTGTTTAGTCGCCGAAAAAAAAAGTTATTTGACATTTCGTTTCCTGCGACCTTCCGCGGGTCGGGGGAGGGGGCCTTCTTGGACCAATGTTTTCGAGCAGAATTTGTTCAAGCGGGGCAATTCGTGATCTTGGTTTTCCACTTCCTTGGGTCCCATCAGCGGTAAGGGTGCCGGTGTCTTGGTGTTGTTGGCTAGGGCACTTCATCTAGACACCACGGTGGCGGTGGTGCTGGTGGGTTTATGTTTTCGAGCAGAATTTGTTCAAGCGGGCAATTCGTGATCTTGGTTTTCCACTTCCTTGGGTCCAATCAGCGGTAAGGGTGCCGGTGTCCTGGTGTTCTTGGCTAGGGCACTTCATCTAGACACCACGGTGACGGTGGTGCTGGTGGGTTTATGTTTTCTAGAAGAATTTGTTCAAGCGGGCAATTCGTGATCTTGGTTTTCCACTTACTTGGGTCCCATCAGCGGTAAGGGTGCCGGTGTCCTGGTGTTCTTGGCTAGGGCACTTCATCTAGACACCACGGTGACGGTGGTGCTGGTGGGTTTATGTTTTCTAGAAGAATTTGTTCAAGCGGGCAATTCGTGATCTTGGTTTTCCACTTACTTGGGTCCCATCAGCGGTAAGGGTGCCGGTGTCCTGGTGTTGTTGGCGAGGGTTCTTCATACAGACACCACGGTGGTGGTGGTGGGGTGTTGGGTCACTTCCCCGCAAATTAAGTGGCAATGTGAACTAAACGGGCGTCCTGTGGAGCGGTGGTGCAGCGGTTAGCCTGCAGCGCCGTGACCCCGAATTTTACGATGTCGACTCCCCGTTACCATATTCTGTCGACCCATACGGTTTACCCGTTTTCTTGTACAGGGAAATTGAGTAACAACACGTGTTGTCTACTTGTTTGTGTTTCTCCCTTGTGATGGGACTTTGTAGGATGAACGTTGAGATGTGTAAGGGCACGGGGTGACCAATAAGGTCCGAATTGGTCTGCGATAAGGTCAGGGGTTGACAGGTATGTGTTAGGGAACAACATTAACGTTGCTCATCACTGATGAGCAACGTTAAATATATGGCCGAATAACCCCCATGACCGAAACGAATTTCTTCATCCAAGCAGTGGTTCGACAAAGGGTTCACTATTGATATAATTTTATTTGCTTATTTCTTAAATGTCCCCTGATCTTGAGTGGGGTACTGTAAACTTTTTTTAAATTAAAGAATGCGTAGCTTTTTTATTATTATTATTGGTGTTCTTGCTTTAATCCTGACTATCGACTTTCAAAAGACTTGTCACTCAAACAAACCAGCCGTGTTTGTTTAGGTCGCACAGCCAGGCGGAGGGCGAAAAAAGAAACCCAGTCATTATACTCGTTATCAAAGCAGCCCGTCTCTTCTCTCCCCCACGGTTAAAAGCTGCTCTTTCAGATCCCACGCCCATTGGACGAACCACAGAATTAGAGCCATGGTCCAAACAGGTGGGGGCGGGTGGCTGACTGGTGGCGTGTGAGGGTGGGGAGCGGTGGCGCAGCGGTTAGCGCTACGCTGCGCGTGTGTGTGAGTGAGTGGGGCAGTGTGTTGAGTGTGAGGAGTGTGTTGATTGGGTGTGTGTGTGGGAGTGAGTGGGGGAATGTGTTGAGTGGATGTGTGCGAGATTGTGTGTGTGGAAGTGATTGTGTGTGTGAGTGGGGGGAGTGTGTTGATTGGGTGTGTGCGAGATTGTGTGTGTGTGTGGAAGTGATTGTGTGTGTGAGTGGGGGGAGTGTGTTGAGTGGGTGTGTGCGAGATTGTGTGTCTGTGTGGAAGTGATTGTGAGTGTGTGTGTGGTAGTGATTGTGTGTGTGAGTGGGGGGAGTGTGTTGAGTGGGTGTGTGCGAGTTTGTGTGTGTGTGGAAGTGATTGTGTGTGTCAGTGAGGGGAGTGTGTTGAGTGGGTGTGTGCGAGATTGTGAGTGGAGCGGTAGTTGAGCGGTTAGCCGCTACGCTGCGCTACGAAACCCCGACCACCCGAGTTCGATTCCCGCTCACGGCCAACACCAGCGGCGATTATACGAACAGGACCTGGGCCACCCCTAGGTCGATTCGGCCTCAAGTGAGGCCCTGGTGCGGTGTGTAAACGTCGCCACTGGGGAGACAAAGGCGGCCGGGCGTGGTGCTGGCCACACACCCTCGGCGTGTTGCCGTACGGGCCTTCATAGGTGCGACTCACTTAACAGCACTTGCCCCAAAAGCATGTTGAGGCTATATAAGGGTGGATCTTTGCCTCTGTGGTGTGTGACCACAGCCCTGCGTGGTTACACAACAGGCCATTTGTCTGTAAGCAAAGGTCTACAGCGAGGCTATGAAACTCATTCTCGATTTTCCACTGGAACATCTGATACGAGCCAGTGCATGGCCCTCGGAACCAAAACCGTGAGACGATGATCCAGGCAAGACATTGAAAACTGGCTCGGGGCCAAGCATTAGCAGTGGAAAAAAAAACTGGCGCCTACCGAGCCGCGGCCTCGCTGGCTCGGCATGCCCCCCCCCCCCGCCCCGCACGGCACGGCTCGCTTTTAGAGTGGAAAATCACGCAATCACAACATTGATGCCACAAACACGTTCATCCCATTAATGGCTGCGAATGGAATTCGGGCTGCCAGGTTGAGTGCAGTGCACTAACCACCGTGCCACCGCTCACCCCCGCCCCCTCGCCATCCCATAAAACAGTGCTGTAAATTAATAATTAATTCGTCGCTAAGAGGCCACCGTTTCGACTGCGGACTGAAATTCTCGACTTTGCAATTCGCGATCGAGGCCGCGCTGAAAGTCCCCAATCTGTTCGTGCTTTACATTTTTTGTTTCAACGCGGATAATCTCTCGTTTCAAACACATCGGTTTAAAAACATTTATTTTATTGCCGGCTCAATCTATGGCTCGCGTACATCCAGCAGTAGATTGATCATGACCAGCTATTGTATGTGTGTGTGTGTACGTTGAACGTCTCTCGCACTGCACGTGGCCAAGCGCACTCACGATCATTGCTGTCGTCGTGATAACGACTGCCCTTTAGGGCATCACGTGGTCAACAAAATATTTTTTTTCTGAATGGCTGAAGGAGTGTGGGGGGGGGGCATTTCTGTGCATTAGTGGGGGGCACATGGAACACATCCACGGTGGAGGAGTACTGGGGAGAGAGAGACGGAGCGATGGAATCATTTCACGCGCAGGATCGCGAGAAGAGGTTGCGATGGTTTGGAAGAGAGAGGGAGAGAGATATCTTCATCCAGCAGTGGATTGAGCCCGGCCAGTGGATTGTACCACCCCCCTTTTCCAACAGGCCCCTTGAATGCAATGGGGGGGGGGGGGGTGGTCGCTCCCTCTCCGTGGCGACCACAACATTCCTGCAGTGCCACCGTCAAACACCACCAGCTGAAAAAAGCGGCCCCGATAGTTTGGTGGTGGCTGTGAGTGAGAGGGTGGGGAGGAGGTGGGGGGAGGAGGAGGTGGGGGGAGGAGGAGGAGGGGGGAGGAGGGGGAGCGAGGAGGGGGAGCGAGGAAGAGGGGGGGAGGAGGGGGGGAGCGAGGAGGAGGGGGAGGAGGAATGGGGCTTCAGCGAGCAACCCTCGCAAAAGCTTCACAAAGGCATTCGGGCCAAACCATTGACGCTCAGAAATACAGGGGGGTTTGGGGTGAGTCTGTGACGATGGGTTCTAAAACAAATCCTCAACCCCCCCCCCCTCCACAGCACCCCCCACTGGCTCGCGCCGAGGAAGAGAATGGTACGACCCGAAAAAAAGATCCACAACAGCCAGCGAGCCCCGTTCGCTGTTAGTGCGCCGACTGCTGCTGTTGTTACTGCTGCTGTTGTTGGGATGGGGCTGTAGTATAAACAACAGTGTTGTGTGTGGTGGTGGTGGTGGATCTACTGCTGTTGGAGCTTACAGGGAGGAGGGGCAGCGTGCTTGGGGGGTGGGGGGGGTTGAATCCTTGTCGTTTCATTCGTCTTAAGAAGCTTTCAAGAGCCTCGTTTGTTCATCATCATCACACGTTGGATATACCCAGCGCTGCATGAGAGGTGAGTGCGAGTTTGCTAACAGCACTTGCTCCTGCGGTCCGTTGAGGCTACACGGGGGATCTTTGTTTTGTGAGTGGAGGAGGAGCGGTGGCGCTAGCGGTTAGCGCTACACCGGTCCTGCACCTCCGCTAGGTCGACTCAGCCGCAAATGAGAGCACCTGGTGCGATGCGTAAAACGTCGCCACTGGGGAGACAAAGGCGGCCGGGCGTGGTTGCTGGCTCGCCTACCCCGTCGCGTGTCACAGTGTCGGCCTTCACAGATGCTGCTACTCGCTAACAGCACTTGCCCCTACAGTCTCTTAAGGCTACACGGGGGATCTTTGTGAGTGGGGGAGGAGCGGTGGCGCAGCGGTTAGCGCGCTTGCGCTACGAACCCTGCAACTCGAGTTCGATTCCCTCTCACGGCCACCAACACCGGTGACGATTATCTGAACCGGTCCTGGGCCTCCCCTAAGTCGACTCGGCCTCAGATGAGTACCTGGTGCGGTGTGTAAACATCGCCACTGGGGAGACAAAGGCGGCCGGGCGTGGTGTCCCGGCCACCCACCCCCTCGTGTGCCGCTCGCTAACAGCACTTGCCCCTACAGTCTGTTAAGACTACACGGGGGATCTTTGCCTTTGTGATTATGGAGTTGAGTGTGTTGTGGAAGTGATTGTGTGTGGGAGTGAGGGGGAGTGTGTTGAGTGCGTGTGTGTGTGTGAGTGATTGTGGGCCTCCCCTAGGTCGACTCAACCTCAAGTGGAGGAGTGTGAGTGGATATGTGCGTGAGTGTGTGAAAGTGAGTGTGTGGGGGTGATTGGGTGAGTGTGTTGAGTGGGTGTGTGAGTGTGTGGATGTGATTGTGAGTGTGTGTGTAGATGTGATTGTGAGTGTGTGTGTGGATGTGATTGTGAGTGTTTGTGTGTGGATGTGATTGTGAGTGTTTGTGTGTGTGGATGTGATTGTGAGTGTTTGTGTGTTTGTGTGTGGATGTGATTGTGTGTGTGTGTGGATGTGATTGTGTGTGTGTGGAAGTGATTGTGAGTGTGTGTGTGGATGTGATTGTGAGTGTGGATGTGATTGTGAGTGTGTGGATGTGATTCTAAGTGTGTGGAAGTGTGTGAGGAGCGGTAGTGGAACGGTTAGCCGCTTCAACCCGAGTTTGGTTCCCGCTCACGGCCAACACCGGTGACGATTATCTGAACAGGTTCTGGGCCTCCCCTCGTGTGCCGTGCCACTCGCTGACAGCGCTTGCCCCAACAGTCTGTTCAGACTATACGGGGGAGGAGGGGGGGTCTTTGTCTTTCTCTTTGTGAATGTGTGTGATGTGGTTGAGTGTCTGTGATGCGTGCGATGTGTGTGTATGAGTGGGTGTGTGTGTTAGAGAGTGTCTTTGATGTGGTTGAGTGAGTGTGTGTGATGGGAGTGAGTGTGTGATGATATGATCGTGTGATGACGTGAGCGTGTGATGGGAGTGAGCTTGTGATGGGAGTGAGCGTGTGATGATGTAAGTGTGATGATGTCAGTGTGATGTGATGTGTATGAATGTGTGTGTGGGGAGTGGTGGCGCAGCGGTTAGCGCGCTGCGATTCGAAACCCGGCGACCGGAGTTCGATTCCCGCTCAAGGCCAACATCAGTGGCTAGTAACTTAACCGGTCCAGGGCCTCTCCTAGGTCGACTCAGCCTGGTGCGGGTCTGTAGTAAACATCGCCACTGGGGAGACAAAGGCGGCCGGGCGTGGTGTGCCGTGCCGGCCTTCATAGGTGCTACTCGCGAACAGCACTTGCCCCAACAGTCTGTTACAGGCTACACGGGGGCGTCTTTGTCTTTGTAATGATCGTTTTGTGATGTGTGCGTGAATGTGTGATGATGATGATGTCTGTCGGGGAGCGGTGGCGCAGCGGTTAACGCACTGCGCTACTGAACCCGGCGGACCCGAGTTCGATTCCTGCTCACGAGCAATGGACAGCGACGAGGGATATTTGAGCGTGTTCCGTGCATCCGGTAGGTCGACTCAGCCTTAAGCGAGTGCGTGCCAGGTGCGGTGTATGAATATCAATGCCGGGGGAGACAAAGGCGGCCGGGCGTGGTGCTGGCCACTCATCCCCTCCGGCCTTGATAGATGCTCGCTAAGAGCACTTGCCCCACCAGCATGTTAAGGCTACACGGGGAACCTTGCTCTTTGTTTTACTGCGGCGTGGTCTCCTGCGAACATGGACAAACAAGTTAGATACTTGTTTGGCCACGGCTGGCATCGGGACGGTTGTGTGCCTCTTCTAGGTCGACTCGGCCTCAAACAACGAGTGCGGTGCAGCTCACATCATCATCATCGACACCAGTGACTTTTTGTCTTTCTTAGACGCTCATCTGGGGCTTCCCCTAGGTCGACTCGGCCTGAAAAATAGGTTAATATAATGAGCAAGGAGAGAAGACAAAGGCGGTCGGGCGTGCATGTTTCTACTCACCACGTTATTCGTACGGACGCCGTGCCGGTGGCTAGGAGATGTTAACTACCTCGCGTGGTACGCAGGAGGTCGTGGGATTGATCCCACCTCTGACGGTGCCTGCTACTGCTGCTGTATATTTGGAGTTTGTGTGTCCGTCTCTCTCCCCGTGGTCGCGTGGATTTCTTTTGCTCCGGTATCCTCCGGTTTTCCCCCGGCCACATTTAGAAACGACATCGCGCGTCTCGAGATTATTTGGCTACTGCAATCAATTTCCCCGTGATGATGACGATCAGCCACTGCGTTGGGCTATCACGTGTGATGGCCAGGTCGCTTCTGAAAAAATAAGCTAATAGTTCAGTGGGCCTTACCTGATTAAAATAACACAAAGAAAGTTTCCATGGGACGTTTCTTTGCCAGTATCAAAAAAAATAATAATAGATGTTACCCTATTCTTGGTTCTTTCGGTAAAGTCACGTAGAAGGGAAACAAAATGATAAAAATATAAAACAATAAAACATTTTTTATTATTTTATTGTTTCCCTTCTACGTGACTTTATCGAAAGAACCAAGAATATGAATCCCTGCAGTCACGAAAGCTTTAAATCAAAATGTTACCCTATCTGGCAATACAAAATAACAGCGCAGTGGGTGTCTCGCCTGCTAAAATAATAAGTTGATTTTAATAGGCGCTCGCAAACAGAGCGCTGTATTGTTCGGCTAGCCATCTGTTCTCTCGGTTTGTTTTTTCTGGGAGGATTTTTAATCCACAAAGAGATCTTTAATCCGCAAACTTGTACCGTCTGTTTGAACAGTGAGTCAAACAAAGAGCCGGATGATCTTGTGGTCCGAGCCACGTGCAATGGCTTCAGCTGGGGTCGTGGAGCGCATCGCTGTGATGGCCATCCGAGTTGGATTCCCGTTCACGGCCACCAACACCGCAGCGACGACGATTATCTGAACCGGTCGTGGGCCTCCCCCCTGGGTCGACTTAGCCTCAAATGGGTTCCCGGTGCGGTGTGTAGTAAACATCGCCACTGGGGAGGCAAAGGCGGTCGGGCGTGGTGCTGGTCACCCATCCACCCTCCTCGTGTACCGTGCCGGCCTTCATAGGTGCTCGCTAACAGCACTTGCCCCGACAGTCTGTTAAGGCTACACGGGGGATCTTTGTCTTTGAGTGGTGATGACGTGACACGCGGTCCGTTCTCGCAGTAGGTTAGTGACGATGATAATTTATGGTAATTAAGCAACAGTGATGTGGATATCCACGGTAATTAGGTAATACACCGTATGATTATTAATGGCAAGTTAGTGACCATGATATGGTTATTAACGGTAAGTTAGTGGGAACGATATGGTTATTAACGTTAAGGTGTAATACTGATGGCAAGTTTGGTGTCTGACAATGCGTAGTGAACAACTGTGGTGGGAGTTCGTGACTTGGTAAGCAGCAGCAGCAGCAGCAGTCGGTAGCCTGCCGTGTGGTACAGGAAGCTATCGTGGCATTTCTCGCCCGAGTAACTCGGTGACGGCTCGATCTTTTTGCCCGTCCAAGGACGGGTGTATCATTGCGGTAAATCTGAAACTTGCAAGCAAAAAGCAGGCCGCGACGTGATATATTCATTGCATCAATTCGCGTGCAATTTGTAAGGGCGCGTTGGCACAGACTTATTGCATGTAAAGGTTATAATGCCTCGTTCATCACGACGTCCTTTTTTACTTCGATGTCTCAACAACAGCGTGACGGAGATCACGTGATGACGTGAGGGTTCTTGCCTTTGTAGTGAGGGCTGTGAGTTGACGCCGAGGAGGGGGGGGGGTGCCTCGCCCCCCCCCCCATGTGGAGTGACGTCACCCGCTAATTATTATTAATGAGGGGGGGGGGGTCCACGTGGAGGACTTGACCTGTTTATGATTACCGAAAGACCCAAAGAATATACTGTTCATCTTCTTGGTTCTTTCGGTAAAGTCACCACGTTAGAATGGAAATAAAATAATAAAAATAAACCATAAGCAAATAAAATTCTCACGATGTTTCGGCCACAACACAAGTAGCCTTCTTCAGGTGAAGGAGCAGAACTGTCGGGACGACAGCGCTTCACTTGAAGCTTCACTTGAAGCGCTGTCAAGTGAAGCTTCACTTGACAGCGCTGTCATCCCGACAGTTCTGCTCCTTCACCTGATGAAGGCTACTTGTGTTGTGGCTGAAACGTCGTGAGAATTTTTACCATGTTATGTTTTATTCGTATTATTTCATTTCCATTCTAACGTGGCGACTTTACCGAAAGAACCAAGAAGATGAATCGCTGCAGTCTGCGAAAGCTTTAAATCGAAATATACTCTTCATGATTATTAATGAGGGGGGCTGGCCGACGTGCAGTGACGTCACGCGCGGGACACACAGACATTCATGGCTCATTGCCGTAGTGCATGTGCGGGTGCAGCGCGGCGAGTTGGCAACCGGCGTGTGGGCGAAGTTGGTGACTGAGCACCTCGCTTTGTCGTCGTGAGACAACGACGACGCAAATCGTAAGCGACAAAGTTGATGATGATGCGGTTTGCGCTTGGAGATTTT